ATGTTCTTACTCAGTGTATAGCATCTTTTAGAATTGCCACTTCCTGGAGCTGTACTGGTGTAAAACATATATACACACACATTAAGGGGTTGCTATGGAGTAATTTACCTCAGTTTTGAACTAGGGTAAGTTGCAGCAGTGCAGAATGATCTGCACCAGCATAAACCATGTCGACATTAGATGTTTGCACTGGTGCAGCTCCCAGATGGCTACAATTCCAGTGTTGTCAAGGCCTAAATGTAGACTTCACTGATGTTTTAATCATTCATCTTTTTTATCTAACTCTGCAGCTATCTTTGAAGTGCCCCAGTAGCTCACAAGAGTGAGGAGGAGAGGGAGCGGGGGCACTTTGTAGAAAAGATCATTTTTACTGTCCACTAATAATATCCTCATCTGTAGTTGTTCCTTCATTTAGAATTAAAAGGTGTGTTAATCCCATCTAAATGTGGCTGTGGAAAATATTTACATTCACTTCAGAATATGTTTGTTTTGCTTAATAAAAACACTTAAAAATTCAAATGATCTCCTCTCATCTATCTATTCCCCTCTCCTTATAGATCACTCTTCAGCTCCCTCTTTCCTTCTGTCACTTGTGTCCTTCACTGTCTTTCTTTGTTTCTTCCTGTGTGGTTTTTTTATCGTTTTGTTCTGTATCTGTCTTTTCTCTCTCCCAGTTTTTTCTTCCTCTGTTCCTCTTCCCCAGCCCTTTCTCTCTTTTCTGTGCTTTTTCTTATGGTTTCTCTTGCTGTATGTATCTTTTTGTACCTCTCTCACTGTCTGTCTCCTTGGTTTCCTTTCTGTCACTTTCACTGGAATGTTGGCAGAGACATTATTTTCAAAGAAACACAGGAACTGACTGACTAAATAAAGTATCTAGGAATGGGGCAGGAGGTTTCTGTTCTAGAAGGGTCTGTATTCCAAGAGCCCTTTCTCCCTTTTTAGCAAAGGAGACTTACATTCCATGCCCACCCACAATCCCATTCAGAGTCAGGATCTCCCCCTCCACTCGCACACAGACCTTGGCCAGGAGTGATGGATTGCACTGCAGTAAGGGCTGGGATCACTGCAGGCAAGGGAGGAGTAGTCACACTGCCAGCATCAGGGCAGGAAGGAGAGAGTGGGGACTGAGCACAAGAGGAGAGGGGGCGGAGATGTCTGGGAGGGTGTGTGTTGTGCGTCTGCAGACTACTGCACCATTCTGACTTTGGCTGAGCATCTTGGAGAGCAGAGGTCTGAAAGATAGAGCCAAAAGAGGCACAAGGCAGAATGAGCTCTGGCAGCAGACGGAGGCTGCCACAAGGGCAATAGGAGAATGGCTGAGAGAGAGAGAAATGAATGCATTCTTATGTGGTACAATAACCATATAACAATACACAATAGTCCTAGAGCTCTCTCTATTTCTGTTGCTGAAACTATAGCAGGCAGGGCTATGGCATAAATGTAGAAACATACAAAAGGTCAAATGATGCAAACTGAACAGTATATTAAACATATTTTCACTGTACTCAAGAGGAAGATGACAATATGATCTTTGGTAAGAGTCAAGGTGCATCAGTAGAGCTATGCATAGGTCTCAGTGTAGGAATAGCAGGAGGTGCTGCGGGTTAAAACCAAGATGAAAGAGCTGAGCTGCTGGGGGTGGGGTAAGAGGAAGCATGATGGAATAACAGGAGGCGCTGCAGGTAAAGAGTGAGGTGCATAGGAGGAACTGGTAGCTTGAGGCAGGACTGGACTAGCAAGGAGTGCTATGGGTCAGGATTGAGGGGGCACTGGAAGAGTTTTGGGTGGGGTTCCCAGGACTGCAACACCTTGTGGAGCTGGTAAGGCCGGAACTACTGACGTTCTTTGAAGCGGGTGGGGATGGTGGGGGAAGAGTTGGCTGAAAAAGTTTATGCCCTCATGAATTCTGGCAGAGGCAACGAGAACATGCTCCCTTTGCTGGATGCATTTATAAATAGAAGATGACCCCCCACCCACACATACACAGTAGCAATTACAATGAATATAGCATGGATAATTTTTGCCTAGCACATTTCCCTTCCTCCCTTTTCTCTTCCTTTCTTTCCTTTCTGCCTCTGTTTTTTTCTCTATTTTCTCCATCTGTTTCTTACTCCCTGTCCAGATTTCTTTCTGGCTGCTTCCTCTCCCCTTCTTTTAACATCTTGCACTACATTCTTTCATCATCCTTTCTTCATCAGCCTCTCTGTCATTTATTTCATCCATCCTTTTCTATCCCTTCATCTTACTCTCATTTCTTCCATCAATTTCTTTCTCTCCCCTCAGGCTTGATTCTCCACTGCCTACACCATGTGACATCTTACACACACACCATTTTGCCCAGATAAAAATGACAACCCCGAGTTCAAAGCAGTGGAGAAACAAGCCCGGAATCTCTTCTACTTTCTTTCTGTTGGAGACACATGAGAAGATCTCACACAGGCATGCATGGGAGATACAGATGGTGGGGGGAAGGACTGTAAGGAGATTGAGGGTGTGTCTGGTATTCATGCAATCAGCCTGCAGGAGGCTGCCTGGCCCCTGCAACTCCTCCCAGTGACTCCCACACAATTCCCTTTCCTCTGTTTCAGATGCTTCTCACACGCTCCCCGCTCTGGCCATTCCCCCCTCCCACCACCATCCTTTGCCGACATCACACTGCACCAACTACAGCTGCCAGCTGCAGTGACCTACTTCTGCCCACTCTGCAAAGCATCTCTTTCTCCTCCATACCTTCACTGCCTGCAGCAGAAGAAAAGGGAGCAGAGTCACTCCACACCCCAATCAACCTCCTAATAATTGCTTGTGTAATGCTCCCCCCACAGGGAATAGAAGATCCTAGAGACACCCCCCTGGTCCTGACAATTTGCTGCTTCTGTTTAGTGCAGGCAAAGGGCACTGAACATATAACCAGGAGACAGTTTAAAGAGAATCTGATGGAGTGATCACTCCCTGCAATGAGTTTAGTCTCAAAAGCTCCTCACCCCCATCTAACTCATCGTCTAGTGCAATTGTCATACCAGATGTAAAACATCATGGGAACTGGGATAACCCCAGGGGCTCTTTAACATGCTCTATAAAGCCCTTTGGCTCATAGGGCAAATGTTTATCATCCCTTTTCCGGTCCTGCCCCTAAGACACAGCACTCTGCGCCTGCATCAAACCATGGCCACCAACCCTTGAAATACCATCAACATTCAGCGAAGGACAATGTGGGAAAGAGATGGAGGCCCAGAACAAGACAGTCAAACAGAGAAAAGAGAATAGATGGCAAGAACAAGAGAGGGAGAGACAGAAAGAAGGAACTTTCCCAAGGCTGAAATAGAGAAAGAAAAAAGTAGAAAGAAACAGAAAGTGAGAGAAGGAATTAGAGAAGAGAGAGGGCCAGAAAGATGCAAGGGGGGAAAGAGGCCTGAAGGAAAGAATGATAGAGAAAAAGAAAATGAGAAAGACATGGAGAGACAGAAAAAGAGGGAGAGAGATGGGGATGCAGAAAATTGAAAAGAAAAGGACAAGGTTGATGATAGAGGATACATAGAAGCCCATCCCACCGTCCACCTTCTACATCTTGGGGTCTCATCAAAAAAAACCTCTCAAAGCGCTGCTGAACACCTCAAACTGCCACCATCAATCGCAGCCCATTTCTGTGCCCCCTAAATTAAACTTGCTCTCAAAGGCCACCATATTCCTCCCATCTCTCTAACTCCCCAGTATTATTTCCTTTCCCTGCAGTGCCATTTTAGCAGCAGCTGCACTGTTCCTCCTCATGGGACTGACTACTGGCTGGTTAAGCAGTGGACTTGAGATCAATCTATGTCAGTGGTTATCAAATGTATGTGATTGGGTCCCCCTTCTTTGTATCTGTAGTCATTCCCCCCACCCCCTCCCCAAGTACATATACCACCACCCAGCTCTGAAGGCAGAATGCAGAGCAGCAGCTGCTAGCTGACCACCCAACTCTGAAGGCAGCGCTGAGCCAGCAGGAGCACAGAAGTAAGGGTGGCAATGTGAAAAGTTATATTCACCAGTATCACTTTTCACAGCAGACTTTGCACCCCATTGCCACCCTTACTTCTGCACTGCTACTGCCATCCTGGAGTTGACAGCTGGAGCTCCGTCCTCTCCTGGTGTGGGATTTGTGGGGACTGGGGGAAGGAGAGCCAGAGCTTCGGCTGCCTTCTGGTGAGGGATGGGGTGGGGGAGAAGGAGAGCCCAAGCCTGGCTGGCGGGGCTCCAGCTGTTCCCTTTATCCCTGCCTCCCGGGTGTGCATGGCCCTTCTGCAGGAGCCCCAGCCACCTGGGGCTGACAGCCAGAGCTCTTACACACACACACACACACAAAAAGCACACAGCTGGCGCCTCCTTTGACACATTCCCGCACCTCCCTTGGGAGGCGCTCCCCATAGTTTGAGAACCGTTGATCTACATGATTCTCCAATTCTATCCCTATGTGTCTATTTGTAACTCTGTCTGCCTGATTATCTCTTTCCCTTTTTCTAATGTACACAAAATTATGGTATCACAAGCTTCTGGCCTTTTTAAGTTACCAGCCAAGCAAAATGTGCTATCTAGTCCCCACACCCTGAGCCCTCAAATGGCTATAATCAGACAGGGTAAGTCTTGTTATGTCACATCTAGCCCATTTCTCCGGGGACCAGTGCAGGACGACAGTTACTTTCCAGGGTTTTGTCCACTAGTCCTAGTTTTAAATGACATGAGCAAATGAACTTTTCTGGGGAGTCTCTGTTCCACAATCTAACAGACCTTATCCCTGGGTTCAGTTTCATCCCATTATTTCTAGTTTACACCACACAATTCTTCTCCGTCCTAGGAGTCTGTGCCCTTCACATGCTTAACAGATGGGTTATGGTGCCCTCCCCAAGCCCATTAGTTAAGCTACACCCAGCTGTACAGATTGAATGTCTCCAGCTCTGGAATTCAGGAGGGGAAAGAAACAGGCACGAAAAAGAGAAAAAATGTAAATAGATATAAATTAGCAGCACCTTTTCCAGCTCCTCTCTCTCCTCCGCCTCCCTCCTTCTCCCCCCTGCTTCAGCCGATCTCGTCCCCCCCCCCCCCCCGTCCCCCCCGATGCGGCCCCACCCGTCCTGCCTGCGTCTCTAAGTACCGCGTAGGCATTTTGTGAGCTAACTCGGTGATTCTGCCCAGCACGCACTGAGCTCCGGGGAGAGATGGAGGAGAGCAGCGGGAGGGGGAAGGCAAAACGGGCGTTTAGCCATTCTGACTCTGACTGCAGAGACCGTGCTGCTGGGGCCGGTTCTAGCCGGCTGGCACTGGGTGATGTGCGGGCTGCAGGGAGCTGAGTTGCTACTGCCGTTGCTGCTTCACAGCTATTGCTGCAGGGGGAAATATGGAGGGTTTAGATGCGCACATACAATACAGTGCACATAAACAACCAGCTTACACGCTGCTACACCATGCAATGACACAAATGCAGTCACGTACTCACACTAAGCAAGGCTAATGTACGCATACTCACACTGTAATATACTCACACGCACTCCTTCGTGAGCACTCCTATACAATAATATACTGGCACGTACACTAATGCACCCCCACGCACTAACACACCCAGTCACATAGCCACGTGCACACTAACATCCCATGCACTAAGAAAAGGAGGACTTGTGGCACCTTAGAGACTAACCAATTTATTTGAGCATAAGCTGTAGCTCACGAAAGCTTATGCTCAAATAAATTGGTTAGTCTCTAAAGTGCCACAAGTCCTCCTGTTCTTTTTGTGAATACAGACTAACACAGCTGCTACTCTGAAACATCCCATGCACTGACATGCTCAACATCATGCACCCCTGCACACTAGTACACCCCCACCCTTTCAATCACAGACAAATGCCCTCTTATACACCCTGATTATAGCAGGGGCTATAGTGAAGGTTAAAACTAGGTTTCTGTTTAAAGCGTGACTCTAGTAATTACTCTAAAAATCTGCACTGTTCTCAGATTGTTTTTGTATTCATAGTCACACATAGTCACAATAGCCACCCAAGTAATTACACACGGTCACATGACAAGCCTACCCATATGCACATGTACATGAGAGCGCCAAATAAATTAATCTCTATCCGTGGGTTGCAGATCATAGAAATGAATTGCCTGCTCTCAACCTTTCTTCCCATTCTGCAACTCCCCATTCACCTTCCTGTCTCCAGACTTCCGTGCAGTTTCCCTCTGCCATTCCCTCCTAACAGTTTCCACGGTAAACATCTGATGAAGTGAGCTGTAGCTCAGGAAAGCTCATGCTCAAATAAATTGGTTAGTCTCTAAGGTGCCACAAGTACTCCTTTTCTTTTTCCTCCTAACACTGATTTTTTTTGCTCCTCCCCTCCCTAGGGTCAAGTGGTTTCCTCACTGATTTGTTATACATACTGGTGTGCAGTTGGCACACTCCTAACCCTAGCCTGTCATGTGAAAAAGCACAACACAGTAGGTGGAAGTAGGTTTGTCACACACATGTGGTTGCTGCGTGGAGAGGGTCTATCATAAACTTGTGGACATTGGTTGGGAACATCTGTCACACAGTGGGGTACAGCAGGGTTGGGAGTGTGATTGCCATCATGGGCATAAGGAATGTAGGGCAATGGGCTGGGTTTCTCCCAGGTGAGGTGGGAGTTGGATGGTGTGTCACATATGGGGGCACAGAATAATAGGCTGGTTGTGTCTCATGCACTGGAGAGGAGGTTACTGAGTTGAGTATCATAGCCTTGAACAGGGGTGGTCAACCTGAGCCTGAGAAGGTGCCAGAATTTATCAATGTACATTGCCAAAGAGCCACAGTAATAGGTCACAGAGTAGCAGCCGTGTTAGTCTGTAATCGCAAAAAGAAAAGGAGGACTTGTGGCACCTTAGAGACTAACAAATTTATTTAAGCATAAGCTTTCATGAGCTACAGCTCACTTCATTGGATGCATTCAGTGGAAAATACAGTGGGGAGATTTATATACATAGAGAACATGAAACAATGGGTGTTACCATACACACTGCAACCAGAGTGATCACTTAAGGTGAGCTATTACCAGCAGGAGAGTGGGGGGGGACCTTTTGTAGTGATAATCAAGGTGGGCCATTTCAAGCAGTTGACAAGAATGTCTGAGGAACAGTGGTGGGTGGGATAAACATGGGGAAATAGTTTTACTTTGTGTAATGACCCATCCACTCCCAGTCTCTATTCAAGCCTAAGTTAATTGTATCCAGTTTGCAAATTAATTCCAATTCAGCAGTCTCTCCTTGGACTCCATTGCAATTAATTTGCAAACTGGATACAATTAACTTAGGCTTGAATAGAGACTGGGAGTGGATGGGTCATTACACAATGAACACACACACACACACACACACACACCCGGCCCATTGGAAAGTTGGCACCTGTAGCTCCAGCCCCGGAGTTTGTGCCTATACAAGGAGCAGCATATTAACTTCTGAAGAGCCGCATGTGGCTCCGGAGCCACAGGTTGGCCACCCCTGGTTTTGAATGAGGATGTCTGGTGACTAATAGGGTGTGTCATAGCTAAGAGGCATGGGCATGCATGGGTGGTACTGAACAGGGGCCTTTGCCTTGCCTTCTATTTCTTATTTATTTATTGCATCATCCAAACAGGCAGAAATAGTACTATGTTACGTAGGTGACCAACTGAATAGTTAAGGTAAACATTTCACAAGAAAGAACTCATAGGCTGAAATGTATTGGCATAAACCTTTGGGCAAATACTTGTGAAAAACATATGCATTCACTACAATCCAAATAGATTTGAAAAGGATTAGTGAACAGAAAAACAAGCATTAATGTATTTCCAATTAACTGTTCCAACATTTCCATCAGTACCAGAATGTACAGACAGGAGTTTTCCACCACATTTCTTATCAAAATCCAACACATCCAATGATACACACACAGAAGAGTTTATATATGAAGCCTTCTGACATGCTAATAACACCCTCTAAATTTGGGACTAAGTTGTGTTTCAAGACCAAAGTGCTGTCTTGCATTTTTAGTGATCCTAGTGTCAAGAGATGTTTCATGAAAGCAACTATGAAATCTTATTTCAGATACACAGAGGTTCTGGAACAGTCCTTACATTATACATATCAGGCATTATACCACGTCTTGCTATCAACATAAGCTGAGCAAGGGAAAAAGCAAAAAGAAAGGTGACCATGATGCTCACTGTGCAGTGGGGTCCATTATTCATTAATTAGCTTTTGTCCAATTAGAGTTAATAATATTATATTGATTGCCCTAATGGTAAAGCTGACATTGTTCTCTGGTGCATTAGCACAGAGGGTAAAGGTTACCATAAAACTTTCTGTTTGAATCATCCCCATTTCTTTGACTTAGGACCAGGCCTGTAGTTGCTGAGAGAGACTTCACCTTCATCAGCCTAAAAAGCTTTGTTTTCCTCAAGAGGGAATGTACAACACCCCCATCGAGTTCATTTGCCCAACAGCACAGGAGCAACAAGGACTGAACTCTTCACGGTCTCTCCATCCACTGCCATATGAAGGGCCCTACCAAATTCAGGGTCCATTTTGGTCAGTTTCACAGTCATAGGGTTTTTAAAATTGTAAATTTCATTATTTCAGCTATTTAAATCTGAAATTTCATGGTGTTGTAATTGTAGGTAATCTGACCTAAAAAGGAGTTGTGATGGGGGAGGAAGGTTGCAAGATTATTGTAGGGGCGGTATGCTACTGCTACCCTTATTTATGCACTGCTGCTGGCGGCGCTGCGGCCTTCAGAGCTGGGCAGCTAGACAGTAGTGGCTTCTGGCTGGGAGCCCAGCGCTGAAGGTAGAGCCACAGCCAGCAGCAGCACAGAGAGGATGTCATGGGGTGGTTTTGCCACCCTTACTTCTGCGCTGCTGCCTGCAGAGCTGGGCCCTCAGTCAGCAGCCACCACTCTCCGGCCGCCCAGCTCTGAAGGCAGCAGCGCAGAAGTAAGGGTGACATGGTATGGTATTGCCACCCTTACTTCTGTGCTGCTGTTGGCAGGGTGCTGCCTTCAGAGCGGGGTACCTATCCAACAGCCGCTGCTCTCTGGCCGCCCAGCTCTGAAGGCAATGCAGAAATAAGGGTGGTGATAGTACGAACCCCCGCAACTCTCTTTTGGGTCAGGACTCCCAATTTGAGAAAACTGGTCTCCCCCATGAAATCTATATAGTATAGGGTAAAAGCGCACAAAATACAGATTTCACAGTCCGTGAATTTGATAGGGCCCTAGCCCTATCCCCATGAATCCCCATGAATTTGATAGGGCCCTAGCCACGTGCCAGGGAACAAGATTGACAGACAGGAGCCTCTGGCCTACCATCCTGACAAACAGCAGAAAGACCCTTCGACTGTCTACAGACAAGGGCTTAACTCCCAGACAGTGAAACACTCTCCTGAGGACAGGCTACCTCAGCCCAGCCCAGCATCAGAACAAGGTTGTCGGTCCAGCAGTCAAGGAATGTGTGTGATAGAGTTCAATGTACCTCAAGTCCAGCAGCCAAACAACAGGTAATAAGGACCTCCATCTTAAGGCTACATCTTCCATTCCAGAGAGACAGGCAGGTAGGTGGAAGGATGGGCACAAGTTCAGTATCAGAACACAGCTTGTGGGTGATGTCCAGCAGTAACTCCCAGAACTGGGCTCTCACCTGAGGTCAGAGGACCAGGCTGAGAGATCCCAGCAGGCTTGAGAGGGAGCTCAGCAGCTTTGTGTTCACCATACTGAGATTCTTTCCAATAGTCAGAGCTCCTTCCTCCTTTTGATACTCCTCATAAGCAAATTTTCATACATACGGACAAAATTCCACTTATTCCATGATTTCCCCACTGTGGAATTCATCCCTTGCCACAAAATTTTGTTCCAGTAGCTCAGCTTTTATTTCAAAACAAATATGGTTTTAGTCATTAGGATTGCAAAGACAACTTCAAAAATGTGAACCAAGCATGAACGGATGTAGTGACGCCTGCCTTAGGGCTTGTCTATATGGAGAAATTTACCAGTATAATTTATACTACTGCCAATACAGTAGAACTTCAGAGATACAAACACCAGAGTTACAAACTGACCAGTCAACCACACACCTCATTTGGAACCAGAAGTACACAATCAGAGAGCAGCAGAGACCAAAAAAAAAAAAAAAGGAAATACAGTACAGTACTATGTTAAACGTAAACTATTTAAAAAATGAAGGGAGAGTTTAAAATAAAGATTTAACAAGGTAAGGAAACTGTTTCTGTGCTTGTTTCATTTAAATTACGATAGTTAAAAGCAGCATTTTTCTTGTACATAGTAAAGTTTCAAAGTTGTATTAAGTCAATTTTCAGCTGTAAACTTTTGAAAGAACAGCCATAACGTTTTGTTCAGAGTTATGAACATTTCAGAGTTACAAACAACCTCCATTCGTGATGTGTTCGTAACTCTGAGGTTCTACTCTATAACCAGTATAACTAGAGTGCTATAATTATTTTTCCCTGTGTTGACACGCCCTTAAACTGCAGACAGCCTGAAATGATAGCTCTGAGACATGTGAACTCAGTGCAGAGTTCAATTCCTAAAAAGAGAAGTGCCGGAAAGCACAATTTCACTACAGAGGTGCTGGCCACCCATACTGCAAAATACAGAGGGAAATAAATAACCAATAATCATTAGTTTACTTAAAATGTATAAGAAGCATGAATGCTATTCCAGCTCCCCAAAAAAGTGCTGGGGTGACATCTGGGGCATTCTTGCATGCTTTGAACAGTAATTCAGTGCAATCATTAACTCTGTTTTCCCAAGAAGCTACAGAATTCAGCAATTTTGTCGCATAATTTGTCATTTTGTTGCAGCCAGGTGCCCAGCATTTTTGGTTTTGTTGTTGTTTGTGTCCCTACCCTGCTGGGACTTGCCTGCAGCTTTCTCTTGCTCTTCAGCTTTCCCCACAGCAGTGAATTAAATGGATTATATAGTACATCTTTCCTGTACTGCTAAATGGAGCAAGGCAGCAGGATGCCATGGAGACAGAACTGGCATCCAATTTGCAGCCATGGAATAGGGAAACTGGAAGTGTAGGCAGCCAACCTGGGCTGTCTGGAGAACAGTGCTTCAGATGAGGCCTGGGCAATTAAGGACATAGGCCACTGAAGTCAACTGAGCTCCCCTCTTCTATGGCGCACATTTGGAAGGAGGTTCTGAGCCAGACTGCTTGGACAACAGCCTGGGAACTGAGGCCTGGGGAGTGGAGCCAGGTTGCTTTGGAGAGCCCAGCAAACAAACATCTTCAAAAAAGTCACTGTTGAAAATAATCAACAATGTTTACATCAGTGAGTATTTTTAACTGTGAGCCATACATCTGGCTGGGGGAGGCAGGGTAGAAGGAGAGGGGCTAGGAATAAAGAGTATTACATGGTAGTAAAATAAATTTGCATTGCAGTAGAGTTTTGGGGTTTCTGCCAGATAATTTGGGGGTTGATGCTGCAGAAAATGGGCCCATTGTGCCACAGAGTACATGGGGTCTTTTGTATGGAATATGCATGACACACCCGTATCCAGGCGATCCCTGGGGCTGCAGGATTCACAGCTGGAATGGCTCTGGGTGTGTCATGTATGCTGATGGTAATTGGAATGGTTTTTTCATCCATGGGGACATAGACGGCATCAGTCATTCAGGTGGAAGAGCAGGGCACTTGGTTGAGATGGGTCTATCACATGCTTGAAGCAGGATGGACGTGTTACATGCATGGCAGTGTGGCTGTTTGGGTGTATCACACATTGGGGACAAGGCATTGAGATAGGTATGTCACATTTGTGAATGCTAGAGATGGCAAGTTATGTGTGTCACATCTTTGGTGGAGACAGGCAGTGATTGGGCATACCTCAGAAGGGACAGGTTGAGAGTATTACACATGCAGGCTGGTGGATTGGGAATGTCACACATGAGAGCAAAGGGCGGTAAGTTGGGCATATCAGATGTGTGGTGATGAAGGTCAGCCATCTGGATGTGTCACATGTAAGGGTGTCCAGAGGTAGATTGGTAGGAATCTTATCTCTGTGGGAATGTGGGGTCGCAGGATGGGTGTGTGTGTCATGGTTTTGATAGTGTGTTAGATGTTAGACACGAGTGGCCAGTTAAGTGTATCATATACTCATTGTGATGCTGTGCAGTGTATTGGATGTTTCAGATGTGGGGGAGCATAGGACAGCTAATGTTTTGGGCATGTCACGCATGTGAGGGAAGGAAGGGCCGCATTGGTGTATTGGATGCATCACACATGGGATAAAAGGTATAAGGGAGGAATGTTACATTTGTATGGATGGGCCTGGGACAGCATGTTGGGAGTATAGGTTGGTGCGAGTGGGAGTGCATGGGGACAACAGATGATGCGTTAGGTGTGTCATGTGATGGCAAAGGATGTCTAGTGTGTTCACGTTTGGGGATATGGGTCAGGACAGTCAGTATGTTAGGTGTGTAGTACGTGTAATGCATAGAGGGTAGACAATTAGGTGTATCACAAGTGTGGGTATGAGGGGAAGCATGAGAGGTGTGTCACACATATTGGTGGGCAAGGGGCTGGCTACTGTGTTGGGTGTGTCAGAAGAACCATTTATTGCCAACAGTATTACTGTGTCAGGCACATGGGTGAAATGGGGTGGTGTCTGTGTGTCACGTTCATGTCAGTCTGTGTGAAACATGGTGGGTAGGTGATGGCAGGCGTAGTGGGTGTGTCGCTCAGGTACGGGTGGAGGTGACTGGGTGTGTCATATGTCAGGGCAGCAGGATGGGTGTCTCACACTTGTGTTGGCCATGCAGGGTGGTGGGCTGGGAGTGCCCAACAGGGCAGTGGGATGGGTGTGTCACAGGGGGGCAAGAGGGTCACACGTGGCTTGGCTGAGTTGGGTCAGGCGTGTCCCACATGCGCAGGGCGTGCAGGGTGGCATGTCACACGCACTTAGCCTGGGGCCTCACACTCAGAACAGGCCTGTGACAGGCAAGCGGGGTGACCAGGAATAACCTGGGGCTACCTCTGGGTTGGAGGCTGGTGAGAGGGGCGGGGCCGGAGTGGGCACTGCACAGAGTGACGGTTATTCCCGCCCCGGGCTCTGTTGCCCCGGCGCGCTGTGGCGCGTGGGCTGCTTGAGGCAGCGCAGCGCGGGCTGCAGGACGGGGGCGGATGCCTCGGCGCCTCTCGCGCAACCTGAGGCAGCCGCGAGCCGCTGCGGCGCCGAGGGGGGATTCTGCCCAGTGCGCGTGCTCGCCCAGCGGCCACCCCTCTCGTATGTTAGCGTTCGCGGCCTCGCGCACTCCCGCTGGGCCGGCTCAGTCGGGCCCCAGCCAGCGCAGGAGGCGGCGGCGGCTCTGCGAGTGGAGCATCCGCAGCAGGAGCAGCGGGGGGAGGAGGGCGCAGCAGGGAACAGCCGAGTCCGGGCTGCCGCCTCTCCCCGTCAGAGGGGGCGGGAGAGAGCGGAGGGGGCCGAGGGAAGGGGCGACCGTCACCCCCTCACCCAGCGCCGCCGAGCGACTCCTGCTCTCGGGGGCGGGGGCGAGTCTCCACGGGGCCCCTTCCAGCAGCCCGGTCCCCGCGCCGCGCCCCCAGCCTGGAGGGCGGGCTGGGCCGCTGGGGACCTCGGGGGGCGGTTGTTCTTTCCAGCCTGGTTGTAGCGGGTGTGAAGGCCAGGGGCGTGTGTGGCGGGGACCTCAACTGCGGACCAGATGGGGGACGTTTGGGCGGGTTGATTAGCTGCCCTAAGTAGCATGAATAATTTGGGGGGAGGGAGGGCTGCTGTGGATAGCTATTGCTGGGGGCATGGCCGGGAGCCTCTTTCTCGGTGGGTGGGTTAATTAGTGGCCAGTTTTCTCGGGATTATCCCTCTTTTCTCTCCATTTCCCCCCTGGTTTCCACTGCTTTAGTTGGGTCCCATATGTGTATTTTACACTGTCCCTGGCGGAGAAGGGGAGAATTTTAAATTCTCCATCCCCAACTTTCCAACCATCACACACAATCCTGCCCGGGAGGACAGAAGCAGCGGCCAGGTTTGTGTCTTTAAAAAACCACGTTTCTTCTGGCTTGAATTTGAAATCGTGCTGTGTCCTCCACCTCAGACTCATGTCCGCTGTGATAATTCTGTATCTGTGTAGTATTTATTTGTGTGCTTTAATATCTGCATTTACGCACTCGTGCTTGCAGGCGTCTGTGTATATTCACATGCATCAACGTGTAAACAGATATTAAAACCTTTTTGTACATAAAGGTATGCAAATATGGGGGTGTTTTTTGTATGCTTTTAATATGTTTGCATTGTATCACATACTTCTAACAAAACCCTTTTAACTGGGTTTCTTTTTCTCTTGTTGCCTTTTTGATTTTTAAAAGGATAATTGTGTAGTGTTAACTTCTAGGATCAGGCACTTACAATATATAGTGCCAAGGACGATGAAAGGGCTGTACAAGTATTTAATTTTATAATAATTAAATGTATTGCCTCATATAAGCAAACACTTTTTAGAAATTAATTTTATCTTTTGGTTATTTGCTTCTGTTTAGAAACCACTGGGCTTTAGGAGGTTGTGATTTCATTCACATGAGTATGCTTCTGACCTTAAACATGGTTCTGTTAATCTAATTTTTGTCTTGATTGGGTTCAAAATGTGATATTTAAAGTGTGTAGAATAAAATTTTATTCTTTTAAAGCATATAATTTTCTGCCTGTATTAAGATAGATAGATAGATTTATCTGCATTAAACACACAATTGCCCAAGTGGAACCTCATTTGTTTCCTTTTAAGACTTCTAATTTCATATATTTTATGTAAATTATTTTGTTTTACTTAAAGTCATTCCCCCCAAAATTATATTGGTCTGATTTTTGCTCAGCTTTTTCTTAGTGTCTTACGTGTCTCATTCTCTTTTCTCCAGGTTGCAATCTCATTTCCTGTTTAGTAGGTTGGGTTTTTTATGTCTAATATGTCTTTCTTTCCATAGGTGTTGGTGATTCCAGACTCAGACAGTTAGGGGTTCAGTTCTGAGGAAGCAGAGACGCGAGGGGCTTATTGGATTGAATCTATTTTTTTGCGCAGGCTGCCACAGCTCTACATCAATATCTTCACTTCTCTTCCCCACCCTCCTCTCCCCCGAGGGGGGGAGGAGCTGGGAATCACTTTTAATATCCCCCACCCCTTCCCCAACATACCTTGGTCCCTGGGGGCACAAGCCAGGCATCACCCATTGTAGTACCAGGAGAACATAATCCTCATCGCTCCTTTCCTGGCTTTGGGGGCTCCAGCAGGACACTGCTCCCTCCCCTGGAGTGCAGATCAGAGAGGCCCTGAGAGGACTTCATTAGCACCCTCTTCTCAGGGGGCACCAAGGAAAGAAAGGTACTAGCAAGCCTTCACCTCACTGAGAGAGCCAGGACTGAAGTACCAGTTATTGGGGGCACTGAAAGAAGCACCCATCTTTGACAATCCTTCATCTCCTACCCCCTACTCACCAAACCTCTGGTAAGTCATACCACATTCATTCATTCAATGCTTTTTTCCCCTCCCCCACTGCTACAAGAGAGGCATGCACAGAGATTGAGAGCAGGGTGGGGGAAGGGATCTGAGAGAAGTGGCTATGTACATGGATCGGGAAAGGGGGGTTTATATCACACACCCACTCTGCAGGGTGGTGGTGGTGGTAAGGACAGAGGCATGCTGGTCTCAAAAAGCAATGGGGAATTTATACATTATGCGCATACTAAAGAGGAGTGTAATAGCTGCGACAGCTATGAGAGAAAGGAGATGTTTACAGGTCAAGTGGTGGGGGGTGTTAATGTTGACCAATATCAGCTTTGTAAGGCAGGGAGGCAAGGGAATAGATTCCTCATTGGCCATCAGAAACTGGGGTGTATGGGTGAAGAATGTTATCATCTACTTACAAGCCTGGAGAGATGAGGAAAGAAAGGGGGCGGGGATGTGTGTGTCTTGAGGGCGATTGTGGAGAAGGGCTGCTGGTATCTAAGATTACTCAGTTGAAGGGAAGAGATTGAACAGATAAAAGTAGTATGGGATTCAGTCAGAGGATCCAGTTGAGTATTTGCCTATCTGCAGGAGAGGGCATACTGGGAAGGAATTGGGGGAGGGGGGTGAAGAAGGAAGATGATTTTATTTTGTGCCCTTCTGCAGTCTGTTTATCAGTATGCTTAATATATTCCTTCCTCCATTGACTGCAGTGATCTCTACAAAAATCCAAGGGGGGTGAGGAAGAGGGGTGTGTGAGTACAGTGCATATGCTTTCAAAGAGGTGTGCTTTGGATTCACCTGCCTGCAGTGATTTTAAATTGTATAATGTATATACGGGGAAGGTAGATGACATGCAGGAGTGATGGACAGATTGCACTGCTACTATTCAGGATACCATGGCCTGTTCGTTTTTCTTTTCTTTTCTTTTCTTTTCTTTTCTTTTCTTTTCTTTTCTTTTCTTCTGATTCCATTGTTTTTGTAGTCTTTTCTAAAGCCCTTGAAGCAGTCATGTTTGTACACGATCTTATAAAAACTGCAACTAATTCTTATTTCTGTAATAAAGGGACCCTACTACTTGTGGTTGTCCCTGGGCATCCCTGTTTAGCTGTAGTGACAAGAGAGAGGGTAGCATTTGTTTTGTTTTTTATTTTAAAGTAATATAATAAATGGTCAAAAGCTTTCTTTTTAATAAGTCCTTATCTGTGAATATCTTTCCTATTGGAAAGTCTTGATGCATAACTATTTGTAAGTTTTTTCTTAGGTGCTGATTGCCTTGGTAACTGTGCACAGAAGGTAGAATTAGCTGAGTTTTGTACTTCAATTTAAAATTGTTTTTGATAGTGTTCTTCTTTCAGCATGACATAAAGAGCAGTTCTGGTTCCATAATGTGGTCAATTACGACTTCGCTCCCCTTGCACAATAACTGTGAAATTCAGCCAGAGTCTTTCCTAGCAATGTATGATAGGGTGGGACAGTTAGCAAAATACCATCCATCTCATCTGTGACATTGCAATAATAATTCTGATGAACCATGGGCTAGCCATCTTCCTTACCTCTATTTATGACAATCTCTCAAAGGTCCTTTGCTAGTCTTGTAGCTATTGATCCCGCTGACTTAAGGTGTGGCCTCCAAAATAGGGTTGCAGAAATTGCTATCGTGAAAGAGGCACTTGTTCTGTTTAAAGTGTAGTCCAGCATCAGCTAATTCATGATGATTTTGTGGAAAGTAAAATACCCTTCCTCTCCCAATAACGTGCCAAAGAGAGCATAGGTGCTTTTGTTACAAATCATAAACAAGAGCATGCAATGCTGTACATAGTAAAGGGTGGTGGGTGGGGATTTTTTTTCCTGATCACCACCTCCTCCTTGGGATGATCAAATTTTTTCCTCCGTTATTGATTACCATGATAGCCCTCAAATCCGAGCTGGCAGGGATCAAACAGACCTGGAGATCTATTATTCTGCTCCCCAGTTATTATATCTGGAATTGCTTTGGATACATTGTGATGTAACTGAGACCAGGATCTAATCCAAAGACTAGAAACGAGTTAATGTGAGAGATCTTCTCCGATATCTTGTGCCCCAGAGCATTCTGTAGACAGTAGGACTCTACCACAACCACAGATCACAAGCCAGACAATTGAGGCTAAATGACATGGAGTCCTAATGTTGTGAAACATCTGGAATTTCATTCAGCATTCCTGCAGGGAAGAAATTGTGTGTGTGTGGTTTTGTTTTTGTTTTTTTTTGTGTTTTTTGTTTTTTAAATGCAGCAGCTCTTGTAACTGTGGCACTTTGAGGAAAAGGGCTATGGAACAATTTTACTTCTACACTAGATGATTGATTCTAATTCAGCCGTTTGTCAGTAATACCTAAAGGAGTTACTATCTTGACAGTTATTCAGTTTGCACAATATAAAATGAATTGTTGGATTCTCATCTTCTAAAGGAAAACTCTTCACATCAAAAACAAAAAATACAATACCACAATTGTCCCTTTTGTTGGCTGTCACTAGTCTGGAGACCAGGAATGAGTGATCCATGGAGATTGAACTCCCCTCTCGCTCCTGGAAGTAGTTCCTTATGTGCAGGGCAAGGGTGTGTTGGTGGGGATAGGAAGCTTTTGCTGTACCAGTTCTGAGTGTAAACAGAGGACTTCTGGTTTCTAGGACTCTAAAGACAGCCAGTCTGATCTCCCTTCATGCTTAGTGAATAAAACCTTATATGATTTGAGGCAATGTAGGTGTGTTCCACTAGACTGTTGCAGGGAACAAGATGACAACCAGGGTATGTTTACACAGCAATTAAACGCCTGCGACATAGCCTCAGGTCTTTTATTCCCATGTAGAGATGTACCCTGAGGAAGACTGCAAACGAAGGGAAAAGGAGCTGGTGTGGAGATGCTAGAGTGAAACCTAGCATCAGCAGTATTAGAGCTAAAAGTTGAGATAGCACTTTGATTCCATCCATAATCAAATCAGTGGAGGTTTTGTGACTGATTTAATCTCTGAAGCAGATGCAATCTGTGATTGCAGGGATAGTCTAACTGACATTCAGTTAGCTGTTGTCCTTGATGGGTTTTTTGTTGTCACTTTTGATCAGGTAAGTGGGTTGAGCACCTGCTGAGAGATTGTTCCCAGTTTGGCCATTGTGGCTTTCAGTGCAAAGGCTTTTCAACCACTTCTAATCTCTGAAGATACTTAAATATTTCCTGTTTTTCCTTCTCCCTCACGCATGCATATTTTGGATTTGGTACTCCCATAGACACTGCGGAAAATGTTTAACACACACCCAGCATTGTCTCAGGCTGTGTGTTTGTTAGATCCAGGTGGGTGGGGTTAGTTTCCGGGGAGGTGTTCTTGAAAGCATATCATACTTAAAAGCTGATGCTGCGTGCAGCTGTCTGAGGCTTGGTCTACACTAGTAACTTATGTCAGTCTTATTGCATTCCTCAGAGGAGTGGACTTTTCAGTTATATGCAGTTATAGTGACCTAGTTCCTGGTGTGGACAATGCTATATTGATGAGAAGGCTTCTCCCCTCGACATAGTTGCTGCCTCTCTGTGAGGTGGATTTCCTACACTGATGGGAGAAGCCTTCCCATTGGTGTAGGTAGCTTCTTCACTGAATCACTAAAGCAGTGAAGCTGCATTGGTGCAGCACAGCTGCATCGGAGATGCTGCAGCCTTTTAAGTGTAGACAAGCTCTGAGAGGCACATTTTCCTCAGAATATTCTTGAGAATGTGGGCAGGACCCTTGAGATGCTGGCGTTACCAAAACAAATTGTAATATTTTCAGTGTGTCCCTAATAAGTAATTTTGACTGACTGAAGAGTTCTAATGAGAGCTTGAAGCTGAATTGTCCAGACTTTGATCAGAAATACTAAAGTAATGGGGATAAGATGTCTTTACACCCCAGCACGGCCTACTTAGGATGTGAAAGAGGTGGTGATTGTGTGGTATAGGGCTAGCAGAGCAGAGGACTGGGAGCTAGGATTTGTAAGTTTTTTGTTTTTTTTCCCTATCTCCGCTGGCGAATTGCTTTCTGGCTGAAATATTCAGGAAGGAGATGGCTGAGTGCAGCTTTCAAGGATGGAAGTGGTGTTATGTTGGGAAGAAGAGATTTGAGAAAGGGGAAGTGCAGGGAAGAGATTCCTCTTGGCAGAAGAACTGAGGGGCACATTAGTGGTAAGGAGGAGTAGAAAACAAGTACAGGCGAGAGTACTTGACACTGGTTTTGATATTGGGGCCAGAGAATGAGACCTAGGGCTTGTTTATGTAGGGAAAAAGAGTGAAGTAGCTGGTGCATGTTAGATACTCTGTACTAACTTACTACACGGACACACTCACTGCACGGAGTGCCTTTGTGCATGTTAGCTTAATGCACCTTGGAAGTGTACTAAGCTAAACTGCCTGAGAGCACTGTTAGTGTGCAGTAAGTGTATCTACATCAGGAATTAGTGTGGGAGTAACAAGTGCACTTTAAATTCACACCCTAGCTTAGTGTGCACTCACTTCCCTGTGTAGACAAGTCCCTTGAAACACATGCTGCAGATCTGTAATGGCTTCTGATTGACGTGGTCTTAAAAATCAAAACATCTGTCTGTTTTCTTTACACACTTAATGCTCTATGGCTGGATTTAAAATGAGGTGGGTCTGCCTTTCTAATGGGCATAGCATACTTTTGAGGGGAGAGACAGTAAGTGGTCTGTTTCTGTCTATTGATAGTAAGATGTTTGTAGGGAGTAGAAAGGAGGATAAATTGACTAGAAAACTCCTGAACTTGGCTTTTCCTTTGTTCTTATGTTCTGCTGTTTCTGAACTATATATCCTCTTCCAGTGCTTATTTAAGTATGTTGCCAGCAGAGCTTCAGTAACCTGCTAGCCATAGAAGGAAACTTTAACCTACTTCCCAGAGGCTAATATGAAAGATTAAGTAGGGCAGGGCTGGGGAATTGTCAGCCAGTGAGGCCCAGGCAGAAGCCCAGACTTCCCCTGCCACCTTTTGGTGCTTGGAAGGAGAAATTATTGTGACTGGGGTGCTGTGGACACTGCTTTGGGACTTTTGTATTGTAACTTCTGTCTACTGGGGGTATAAAACTTGAATCCTGCCCTCTCCACTCCACACACCTTTTCACAGCTGGAAGGAGAAGATGCTCCCTCTCACACTTCTTCTGCAAGACCTTCTTGTCTGCCACAGGGGGCAGGTCTGCTCCCTTACTTGCCCTCCCCCAGCAGTTGGTTTTGTCCTTCCTCCTGCATGAAGAGCTCTGGTCCTTGGCCCTTCTGCTGCTCCTAGGTTTCCAAAGCAATAACAGTATTGTGATGTTGATATGGTTCTTGACAGTTTCCTTGCTGTCCACTGGGTTCCAAATAGCAGGTGAAAATGGCCAGTTTTAATTTCATCCTGCTGCTCCTTGGGAAAGCCTTGAGTAGCAGCTTTGCCTGTCTATACTTTGAGTGTCTACCAGTTACTGGCCACTGATGGCTGTTTCCAGGGAAAATCTCAGCATAGGCAAGTCCTTCAGTAGATAGTACCTGTTTCAGGTCGTATTCAGAAGAGTTTTCTTTTCTTTTCCTTTTGTTCGCAACCAGGAGAACAGGAAATTTCATATTTAAACAAATGAAAGTCTTAAGTTTTCTTGAATTCTTTTGCTTACCTCATGCTTCCTCAAATTCATCAAGGAAGGTTTCTTACACACCAATGGAGTGGATTTTTCAGTCTGCATATCAGTCTGCCTTGATTGCTTTACGGTTTTTAATGATGTTAGCAGATGGTAAAACGTCACTAGAGACTGATGTCTTCTATATAGCCAAAGTATGGGGAGCAACAACAATGCAAATCCATATGGGCTCACTGGTCACCTGGTGGGATCATCTCTACCAACAGTGTTCAAATTCAGTACTTTGCAGCACTTGTGGGAGTGTGTTGGAATCCACTGATATTTTCTGTGTGTGAGGAAGGATGGCCTTGTGACTAAGGAACAGAACTGGGACTCAGACCTGAGTCCTGATTCTGCCATAGGCTCAGTGTATTGTCTTAGGCACGTTACTGCATCTCTGTATGCTTCAGTTTTTCCATCAATAAATTGGGATAATACTGAATATCCGCATAAGGGAAATGTGAAGCTTAATGAATATTTATAAGACATTGATTGCTTCCTTGAGATCCTCGGATAGGAAATGCTATATAGATACATTTTTTTTCTCCCCTCTAAACCAAGGACAGAGCTGTGTGTACAGGGAAGAGGTCTGAGGGATGGTGGGAAGCATGTGGACAGAAACCTTTGTTGGTTGTCTGATTTCTTATCTTCTCCCTTACTTAGAGTTCCATTAAAAGGAGATCCCGGAGGTTGCAAGACTAGTAAAACAAGATGTGCAGCTCAGTTGCTCCCAGGCTGTGGTTCTTAACAGATCGTCGTATCAGGGAAGACTACCCACAACAGGAGATCCTGAGGGCGCTCAAGGCCAAGTGCTGTGAAGAGGAACTAGACTTTCGGGCCTTGGTGATGGATGAAGTGGTACTGACCATTGAGCATGGAAACTTGGGTGAGGATGAAGTGAAGGTTGGAGTGTGGGCTGGGGAGGGGATCTGACAAGGAGATTGTAATACAGGGGTGGCTAAACTTCGTGACAATGAAGTGCACATATGCCAGGATCAGTACACCTAATCTAAATTAATATTTCATATAAATGCATTGCTCTTGTGTACTTGATCATCAAATAGAAATTGTTGGCTTGCAGTTGGATAAGCTTTGTTCTCCCTCTGCAGAATGAGGGGAGCAAGTCTGTTTTAGAGCCATGGGGTCGTGTTTTGGCAACCCAGCCTTACTGTATGAGGGGGTTCTCTCCAACAGACAATAGTGAATTAATACAAGGTTAACTACCTCCAGGATTGCTGAGTTAAAGAGAATTGACTTCATTTAATTTTGTGTGCATTTGTAAGTTGATTACTTATGTTTAGGGGAAGCTGTGAGGGTAACCCATCAATATCTCTCTGCCGGTTGGGTTCTGAACTCAGCCCAGATAGTCAAGCAAGCAAACAAACTGAAAGGAAATTTCAGAGAAGAGTAATATGAGTGGTCATGGGGTTGGAAGGATTGATTAATATTGCGATTAAAATAGTTGAATATCTGTAGCTTAGTTAAAAGATGACTGAGTTATGTCCTCTTCAAATATGATGAGTGTAAACACCAAAATGAAAAGGTATCTGGAAGAAGAAGTGAGCGGTCAGGAAGTAAAATTTCAACAATGCACAGTTATTTAGGTTAGTCAAGACTGAAGACAGGACTTAAAAAAACAAAAACAAAATGAAATTCAGTGTTGACAAATGTGAAGTACTGCACATCAAAATAATTTGAACTACTACTACACCTTAGTGGGTTCTGAATTATCTGTAATGGTTTGGGAAAAGGTGCTTGGTGGTGCTGTGAACAATCAGTGAATATCTCTTCAATAGTGATCAAAAGGAAAACAAGATGTTAGGATGTATAAGGAATGGGATGTAAAATAATATTGAAAATACAATGCCACTATTACAAGGGGAGCAATAGTGACACTTACGTAAAGTTGTCTAGCAGTTCCCATTATCAAAATCTTTCCAACCTTTAAGATTTCTAATGCTCTGAGATTTGTATGAGGAATGTGACATTTGTCAAGGAGATGGTCCTGTGGTCAAATAGGTGTTTTGTGTTTTCCCCATGAAGTTTGTTCAGATTTGGCAGTTTAAAGTAGTTGATGTACTCTACAGCATTTATGAGAGTCTTACTGCTAAATTTTCAGAAGATTCTGTCTGCACCAAGCATGCTTCTCTACTGTCCCTGTGCTGGGCTAAGGCAACTGCACAGAACCATAGGCACAGCTGCTGGGAAGGATGGACAGAGAGGAAAACATGTTCTGTCCCCCGGCGTTTTAACATTTTTACTTTATTTTTTCTCTTTGGTGATGCAAAATACCATAAGTAACATTTATATTTGTTTAAAGGAGTGATATAAAATGTGCTGGAAGGGTGGGAAGAGAAATTTGCTTAGGGCTAGCCTTCCTCTCTCCTCATTTTTGTCTTTTCTTGAACCACATTCTCCCTCCTAGTCATCTCTTCCCCCTGCCTTGCAGGTTTTTTCCCCCCTGTGGTTGCACCTATGTACAGTACCAAATCGCCAGATGGGACATAGGCAAAATGAATCTGTCATCTTCCACTGTTGCTTCCGCCACTGTCTACCCATCCCCATCAAAATACCCTTTTGGCTTAGGGGAAGGAGTGCTGGAATAGATCCAGTAGAAATGTGTTCTGTACTCATCTCTTATGCCAACTTGTGTACAGGGTTGTGAAGGGCACAGAACTATTATTGAACAAGGCATCATACTCCACTGAGAAGCTACAGAAGGGGGAATGGAAGGCATCATACTCCACTGAGGCATCATACTCCACTGAGAAGCTGGCAGCTGGGAATGGAATCCACATATTTAATATGGCAAACCCAAGCTCATTCATTTTATCTCACTGCCTCTCAGAAAGAATCTGCTAGTGCTGTGTGCTTGGCTACACTATCTGTAAAATGGGACAACTCTATATCCTAGTAAAGAGGAGAGGAGAGAAGTTGATAAAGTGTACAGGTAGGAGCTGAAGAGAAACAGACAAATGAAAGAGTCCTACTCAATTAAATCACATGAAAGCAGACAACGAAATATAGACAAATTTTTAAGTGCTTGTATACAACTGCCAGAAGTCCAAATACTAGGATAGGTGAACTTGAGTGCCTGGTGTTAAATGAGGATATTGATATGATAAGCATCACAGAAACTTGGTGGAATGATGATAATCAATGGGACATGGTAATACCAGGGTATAAAATGTATAGGAATGACAGAATAGGTTGTGCAGGTGGGGGAGTAGGACTATATATGAAAGAAAGCCTAGTCAAATATAATAAAAATCTTAAATGAACCAAATTATACCACAGAATCTCTATGGATAGAAATTCTATGCTTTAATAATAAAGAGTATAGCATTAGGCATATACTACTGCCCAAGATGGTGATGGTAATTGTGAGATGCTCAGGGAGACTAGAGAGGTTACAAAAATAGAAAACTCAATAATGGGGATTTCAACTGTCATCGTATTGACTGGGTACATGTCACCTCACAATGCATGTAGAGATAAAACTTCTGGACATCGTTAATGACTGCTTCTTGAAGCAGCTAGTCCTGGAACCCATGAGGGGGAAGCAATTCTTGATTTAGTCCTGAGTGGCTGAACTGCTCAGTAATTGCTACCATAATGTAATTAAATTTAACATACTTGTGGGGGAGAAAATACCAGAGAAGGCCACCAAAGTAGCATTTAACTTCAAATAGGGGAACTACACAAAAATGAGGAAGGTAGTTAAATGGAAATTAAAAGGAACAGTCACAAGAATGAAATGCCTGCAAGTTGCAGGGAAACTTTTTAAAAACAACATAATAGAGGATCAAATTAAATGTATGCCCCAAAATAATAACTAAAAAAGCAAAGAGGGTCAAAATACGGCCACCATGACTAAACAACAGAGTAAAAGAGTCAGGGCAAAAAGGCGTTCTTTAAAAATTGGAAGTAAAAACCTACTGAGGAAAATAGAAATGAGCATAAACTCTGGCAAATCAAGTGTAAAAATATAATTAGGCAAGCCAACCAAGAATCTGAAGAGACCAAAAGACACTTTTTTTTTTTAAAGTATGTCAGAAGCAGGAAGCCTGCCAAACAATCAGTGGGACCACTGAATGATAGAGGTGCTAAAGGAGCACTCAAGGAAGACAAGACAGTTGCAGAGAAGCTAAATGAATTCTTTGCATTGGTCTTCACTGCAGAGGATGTGAGGGAGATTCCTACACTGGAGCCATACAATTTTGGTGACAGATCTGAGGAACTGTCCTAGATTGAGGTGTCAATAGAGGAGGTTTTGGAACAAATTAATAAATAAAACAGTAATAGGTCACCAGGGCTAGATGGTACTCACTCAAGAGTTCTGAATGAACTGAAACACAAAATTGTAGAACTACTAACTGTGGTATGTAACCTATCACTTAAATGAGCCTCTGTACCAGATGACTGGAGGATAGCTAATGTAATGACAGTTTTTTAAAAAGGGTTCAGTGGTGATCCTAGCAATTACAGGCTGGAAAGCCTAACTTCAGTACCAGATAAATTGCTTGGAACTGTAGTAAGGAACAGAATTATTAGACACACAGCTGAACTTGATATGTTGGGGAAGAGCCAACACGGCTTTTGTAAATCGAAATCATGCCTTGCCAGTCTATTAGAATACTTTGAGGGTGTCCAACAAACATGGGCAAATGTGATTCAGTCGCATTAGGGTACTTGGATTTTCAGAATGTCTTTGATAGGGTCCCTACTGAAGGCTCTTAATCAAAGTGAGCAGTCATGATATAAGAGGGAAGGTCCGTTCATGGATCAGTAACTGGTTAAAAGATAGAATACAAAGGGTAGGAATAAATGGTCAGATTTTAGAATGGAGAGAGGTAAATAGCGGGGTCCCCCAAGGATCTGTACTGGGCCCAGTGCTGTTCAACATATTCATAAATGATCTGGAAAAAGGGGTAAACAATGAGGTGGCAAAATTTGCAGATGATTCAAAATTACTCAAGATAGTGAAATCTAAAGCAGGCTGTGAGAGTTTAAAAGGGATTTCACAAGACTGGGTGACAAAATGACAGATGAAATTCAATGTTGATAAATACAGAATAATGCACATTGGAAAACATAATCCTAACTATACATATGAAATGATAGGGTCTAAATTATCTGTTACCACTCAGGAAAGAGATCTAGGAGTTGTGGATAGTTCTCTGAAAACATCCAATCAGTGTGCAGTGGCAGTGAAACTAACAGTGTTAGGAACCATTTGGAAAGGGATAGATAATAAGATCGTAAATAGCATAATGCCACTATATGAACCATAGTACGGCCGTACCTTGAACATTGTGTGCAGTTCTGTATTCCCTGCCACTCTGTACTTTTTCCAATGGTAATATCTTTTTTGGAAGGCAACAGAAATGATTAGGGATATGGAACAGCTTCTGTACAAGGAGAGATTAAAAAGACTAGGACTGTCCAGCTTGGAAAAGTGATGACTAAGGGGGAATGTGATAGAAATCTATAAAATCATTAATGGCATGGAGAAAGGGAATAAGGAAGCGTTATTTACCCCTTTGTATAACACAGGAAGCAGGAGTTGTCCAATGAAATTAATAGGCATCAGGTTTAGAACTAAACAAAAGGAAGTGTTTCTTCACACAACACACAGTCAGTCTGTGGATCTCATTGCCAGGGGTTGTTGGGAAGGTCAAAAGTATAACTAGGTTCAAAAAAGAATGAGAAAAGTTAATGGATAGGTTCTTCAATGGCTATTAGCCAAGATGGTCCGGGACGCAACCCCATGCTCTGGATGTACATAGGCCTCTGACTGTTAGAAGCTGGGCCTGGATGACTCAATAATTGCCCGGTTCTGTTAATTGCCTCTGAAGCATCTAGCATCAGCCACTGTCAGAAGAA